CAACGCTTTATTCATGTCTTCCAATTGTGCTCTTGCGTTGTCACCCTTCCACACATGCTTCTGATGGGGACTACAAGTAGCCATTTCAAAACACTTTATATAAGCATGGTCCGTTGTTGTCACCATAAAGAGATATGCCCTAAAAATGCCATGCAGCCACCACTGGAGTGCATGTAGACAGGAAATTACTGCAAATGGGGCTGCAAGGGATCAGAAGCACTAAGGATGAAAAAAAGGTAAATACTATTTTTTTTTAAATAAAATGCCAGTTATTTATGATACATTGTGCGCAGAAAAAAATAGATGCACAGAGACCACTGCTTCCACAGAGAGATTACTGTTTCCACAGAGAGACCACTGCTTCCACAGAGAGACTACTGCTTCCACAGAGAGATCACTGCTTCCACAGAGAGATCACTGCTTCCACAGAGAGATCACTGCTTCCACAGAGAGATCACTGCTTCCACAGAGAGATACTGCTTTCCACAGAGAGATCACTGCTTCCACAGAGAGATCACTGCTTCCACAGAGAGACCACTGCTTCCACAGAGAGACTACTGCTTCCACAGAGAGACCATTGCTTCCACAGAGAAACTACTGCTTCCACAGAGAGACTACTGCTTCCACAGAGAGATCACTGCTTCCACAGAGAGACTACTGCTTCCACAGAGAGATTACTGCTTCCACAGAGAGATCATTGTTTCCACAGAAAGATTACTGCTTCCACAGAGAGACTACTGCTTCCACAGAGAGACACTGCTTCACAGAGAGACTACTGCTTCCACAGAGAGACCACTGCTTCCACAGAGAGACTACTGCTTCCACAGAGAGACTACTGCTTCCACAGAGAGACCATTGCTTCCACAGAGAGATCACTGCTTCCACAGAGAGACTACTGCTTCCACAGAGAGACCACTGCTTCCACAGAGAGATCACTGCTTCCACAGTGAGACCACTGCTTCCACAGAGAGACCACTGCTTCCACAGAGAGATCACTGCTTCCACAGAGAGACTACTGTTTCCACAGAGAGACCACTGCTTCCGCAGAGAGACTACTGCTTCCACAGAGAGATCACTGCTTCCACAGAGAGATCACTGCTTCCACAGAGAGACCACTGCTTCCACAGAGAGACTACTGCTTCCACAGAGAGATCACTGCTTCCACAGAGAGACTACTGCTTCCACAGAGAGATCACTGCTTCCACAGAGAGACCACTGCTTCCACAGAGAGACTACTGCTTCCACAGAGAGATCACTGCTTCCACAGAGAGACTACTGCTTCCACAGAGAGACCACTGCTTCCACAGAGAGACTACTGCTTCCACAGAGAGATCACTGCTTCCACAGAGAGACTACTGCTTCCACAGAGAGATCACTGCTTCCACAGAGAGACCACTGCTTCCACAGAGAGACTACTGCTTCCACAGAGAGACCACTGCTTCCACTGAGAGACCATTGCTTCCACAGAGAGACTACTGCTTCCACAGAGAGATCACTGCTTCCACAGAGAGAACATGGGTCCTTCTCTGCGGCATGCTGGCAGGGCACAGGCTTTTCTACACAGGCTGTAGCTGCTTTTCAAAGAAAATGAACTGTAAGGCTTTGCAAACTTTTAGCTTTGATGCATCCAGAATGTATTTAGCTGATTTAACGACTTGTCCCCCATCCACAGTATTTGTACTGTGGGAGGGTGGCAGTTGCAAGAGGAGCAATGTACTGGTACATTCTTCTGGGTTTGACTGGACACAACACAAGTTTGGCAGCTGTTTTCAGGAAATGATTTTGGCTGAATTCAGCTGATCAGCTGTGACCAATCACACCAAATTTACTATAACACAGAGCTCACAGGGAGTACAGGGAACAGGGAACAGCAATCTGACTGTTTCTTCTCCCCGCAAAACAGAGGTAAAAAAAAAACCAGACAGATAGTAAAGTAAGAGTTGCACATATTACACACCTTACACACTGGGTAGGCACACAGTTAACCCCTTGATGTTAACCCCTTCCAAGCCAGTGTCATTAGTACAGTGTACAGTATTATCATCACTGATCACTGTGTTAGTGTCACTAGCAACATCAGTGTCAGTTAATCATTTAGTGTCCCTCCCAACCAGTGTCTGTTAGCGCCAGATTGCCCTCCACACTATCACAGTCACACTAAGTTGCTGATCACTGCCATTACAGTATAACATCTACAGCTGCATAAATCCCATATATATTTTTATATATATATATTATACAGTATTATTATTTGCTCAGCGCTGTACAGTATAATTGGATATACACGAGACAGCGTAACAATACAACAATACACAAGGTTTGCCCTCAGCGCAATGTACATTATATAATGGGAAAGTTCGCTCAGTGACACAAGGGGGACAGAACATGTACAGAACAATACATATAATGCAAAACATGAGGGGTAGAGGGCCCTGCTCTTTCGAGCTTTCAATCTAGTATATATATATATATATATATATATATATATATTTATTTTTATATATATATATATATATATATATATATATACATACATACCTTTGTTTATAGATGCCATAACTTTCACATAAACCAAATAATATATACTTATGGGGATTTTTTTTATTTTATTTACCAAAGACATGTAAGCAGAATATATTTTGGCCTAAATTTATGAAGAAATGTGATTTTATTAGATTTTATTATTGGATGTGTTATAACAGAAAGTAGAATATAAGATTTTTTTCATCAAATTTTGTGATTTTTTTTTCATTTATGTAATAAAAAATGAAAAAAACAAGTTGTGATCAAATACCACCAAAAGAAAAATCTGTGTAAAATAAAATGATATAAATTGTGTTTGTATACAGTGTTGCATGACTGTGAAATTGTCAGTTAAAGTAGCCCAGTGTTGAATAGCAAAAAAATACCCTGGTCATGAAGGGGGTAAAACCTTCTGGAGCTCAAGTGGTTAAACTAAAAGTTTAAAAAGAAAAGCAGCTATTCAACTTGTGAAACTCCATACACATTAGTTCTGTGTAAATGACAACAAAACTGAAGATGATACTAGGCTATTTTTTCTACAGGTTGAATGTGTTTCATTCATAAACATGCCGTGAATCAGGAAACATACTGCATTTTGTCCACTAGATGGAGCTGATGATCATAGTCATTTACTGCATTTTCTATGAACATCAGCTCCATCTAGTGGCCATATTATCATATTTTTTCTGATTCACCTTATGAATAAAGAACATCAGACCTGCAGAGAAAATAGCCTAGTAATATTTGATTTTGCCAGCATTCCCACAGAACGAATGTAAATGCAGCTTTGCATGATGGCTAGCTCTGTGAATATTTTATAAATATACCCCTTAGTGGTAGTCAGTAGGTAGAAGTAAAACCGCGTTTGTGGTACTTACAAAGCCTTTCCACCCTCCTCCTTGAAAGTTTGACCTCTCCCGCCAACATTCCTTTGCTAAACCTATGCAAGAGTTGCTATATATACATTCAATAAGCAGCAATGGGAGAGAAATCTATTTCTGCAGTGCCGAGCCTTAAAATAGAATTTGGCTTATTTCAGTCCATTTATTTCTAAGATTTCTGCCTGACAGTGTGCAGTATGTGAAAACCTGCAGTCCTGTGACTGCGCAAAAGGACAAATGGTATTACTTTAGCAGTTTAATGTACATTATACAGGTTAATGTGCAAATCCAAGGTTGCTTACACCTTCATTTTTCCTTTTTTTTTTTTTTAACTTTCTAAACTTGGGAATGCCAATTCGTGTTTTTAAGTATATCTGTGAAAGAGATCACACGGACGTACGCAGTTTATGTAATATGAAATTTCTGACAAAAGGGCAGCGCAACCTCAGATTATCTACACGCGAACCACACAATAAACATATTTCTGCAAAAAAAAAAAACAATATTTCAAATATATGTGTTTGCAATTTTTAAATAAAACTTGTACAATAAATAAAAAAAAAAAAAAAAATATATATATATATATATATATATATATATATATATATATATATATATATTTATTTTTTCTATGGTTGAACTGGATGGACTTTTGTCTTTCTTCAGCCAGACTAACTATGTAACTATATGCTCAACACAAAAAAAAGTGCAAGAAAAAAAAACCTCATCTCATGTTGATGACATATGTAGTAGATAATGTGCTCATAAGTTCAAAATAAAGTGTTCGCAAACAAACTTCTGTGTCTCTGTCACTAGCCACACCACCTCCTTACCTTAACATATTGATTTATAGTGAAAAATAGGTCAACCTGTGCCTTGTCCTTTAAACTAGGGCTTCAGATCTCCTTGGTTGTCCGTGATGATGCCAATGTAGCTCCACCTCGATGCATTTTGCCATGCCCCTCATTTCTCCATAAGTAAGCCATGATGGGTGTGGCGAAACATGTCAGGGCAGAGCTGTGTGACGTCATCGCGCATGACCGCAAGTAAAGTTCTGTTGTCTGTGGAGATAATGCTGATAAATGTTGTATGTTTATTCTATGTTTTGCAACATAGAATATGTTTAATATGTGTTAAGGGATGTTTAGAACGAAGAACAAATATTTAACTAGTTTACCCCCCTTCCTGCCCAGGCCATTGTTTGCACTATGGCGCTGCATAACTGACAATTGCGCGGTCATGCAACACTTCACCGAAACAAAATGTACGCCCTTTTTTTCCCCACATATAGAGCTTTATTTATGTGGTATTCGAGCGCCTGTGCATTTTTAATTTTTTTATGCTATAGAAAAAAAAAAAGACTGGCAATTTTGAGAAAAAAATATTATTTTTACTTTTTGCTATAAAACATGGCCAAGAAAAAAAATGTAAAAAATCACATTTCAGCATAAATTTAGGAAAAATGTATTCTTTTACATGTCTTTGCTAAACAAAATCCCAATACGTGTAAATTCATTGGTTTACATGAAAGTCATAACATTTACAAATGGCGGTATAGATTCTGGAATTTTTTTTTTCACTAGTAATTGCGGCGATCAGCGACTTATAGGGGGACTGCGGGACTGCGGTGGACATTTTGACACTTGGAGGAACTGACTTGGTGTCACCAACATCCCCAGTGACACCAATACAGCGATCAGTGCAAATAAAAAGCACTGTAAAGGGTAGAAATTCAGCGAGCGCTAGAGAGCGGAAAATGAAGTAGCAAATGCACTAAAAGGAAACCGTATAAACCTTCTGAAATATCATAAAACACAAAGTGCAGCGCTAAAATATAAATATAAATGGATATAAACGCCTGAAGCTCAAGTGATAAAACCTTAAAATATAGGTGCACTCGATAAATATAAGGTATGTAGGTATGATTGGGATAGTGACTCTAGGTGGTGACTCTCTTAATCCCAGTAGGCTTATAATTCGGTGATGTGCAGGAAAATAGTAAAATTGCGCACTCACCAGATGCGCAATTTATGTGCGCATTAATCACATCAAATACACCATTGGTCCTGGAAAGGATGCTGCTTGGGATAGGTATACTCTTCCCTGGGTATGGGCAGTGGGAGGGCACCTTTAGAGGTCTCTTTGATTGGTGGGCTGCGGTGGGGGTCAGTAAAGCCCATCAATCAAGGAGACCTCTAAATAAAGTAAAAAACACTGACACTGTACTAATGGCACTGGGCAGAAAGGGGTTAACATCTGGGGTAATCAAAGGGTTAACTGTGTGCTGTTTCACTATTATGCTGTGTCTGTGCTTTCCACCGTAGGCACCCTGCTTTGTATGGCTCTGCAATGCAGAGCCATACAAAGCAGTGTGCTGGAGCTGACAGGGGAGAAATCTGTATTGTTTACATAGAGTTCTCTCCCCCCCCCCCCATCAGTGATTACTCGCTGGCACCCGGTGATCGATAGCCAAGGTCGAGCACGCACCCCCTACCCGGAAATAAAAAATCAAGTATATATTCATGATTTTGCGCACCCCTGCCGACCCTGTAGCAGTATTTTGCTATAGGATGGCAGTAAAGTGGTTAATATATTGCATTGCAGCATACCAGTACTTAGATGTGCTGGCTGCATTAGTCTTCTTTTTTTCCCTTTTTTGTTCAAGAAAATATAATTTTTTAGCAAGCACAGAACATTGTTGATCTTGTTTGTCATCCAGTATATAAATTGATTGTCTTGTGGATAACAACTCTTAAGCAATTAAGCCAACCATGAGAATGGGAGGCATATCCCATGTGAGTACACACCCGAGAGGGGGACACTATATTTTACTCACGTGGTGATTGTATTTGAAGAATCTGAATCATCTTGGGATAAAAAAGGACTTTTATTTGGACTGTTTTCACTTGTATGAGTTTCCACTTTGAAATGTATCTTTCTGATATGTTGCGCTACTGAATCACCTAGAGCGGGTGTCGGCAACCCGCGGCTCCAGAGCTGCATGCAGCTCTTTTTCACCTTGGCTGCGGCTCCGGAGCACACTGCCCACCAGGTGACAGGCAATAGGGCAGCAATGGGCAAACTACGGCCCGGCGGACCTTTTAATCCGGCCCGCGGAGCTAGGCTCCTCTCACAGTCCGCCCTGAAGACCGGTGTAGCATGAAAATCTGTCTCCTATGAGGATCTGTCCCCCTCGACGTATCTGCGCATGTGCCGGAGATCGCCGATCGGCTGCTAATGCCTGAAACTGGCACATGCGCAGATACGTCGAGGGGGACAGATCCTCATAGGAGACAGATTTTCATGCTACACCGGAACGGTGCGGGAACACGGCGAGAGGAACGCGCGGAGCAAAGGTAAGTGAATTGACACAGGGGGGACTTGGGGACTTAATATGGGGGATGAATTAATATGGGGGAAGAATTACTATATGGGGGATGAATTACTATATGGGGGATGAATTACTATATGGGGGATGAATTGCTATGGGGGATGAATTACTATATGGGGGATGAATTACTATATGGGGGATGAATTACTATATGGGGGATGAATTACTATGGGGGATGAATTACTATATGGGGGATGAATTACTATGGGGGATGAATTACTATATGGGGGATGAATTACTATGGGGGATGAATTACTATGGGGGATGAATTACTATGGAGGATGAATTACTATAGGGGGGATGAATTACTATGGGGGATGAATTACTATATGGGGGATGAATTACTATATGGGATGAATTACTATATGGGATGAATTACTATATGGGGGATGAATTACTATATGGGGGATGAATTACTCTATGGGGGATGTATTTTCAGTTTTAAAAATGTGGCTCTCAAAATAAATTTCAATCGTGGTTTTGGCGAGATTTGGCTCAGTTGAAAAAAAAGGTTGCCCACCACTGACCTATGGCTATGATTGTGATTATGACGATACACTGTGGCCCTGATTAACCCTTTGCTTACTGGGCCCTTAAACCCCCTTCATGACCAGAGCGCTTTTTGCAATATATGCAGTGTCGGATTTGTTTTAAATGTTGCAATGGTTTTGCGGCTCCCAGTCTTTTTTTCCCTCTCGGAAACGGGTCCAAGTGGCTCTTTATGTCTTAAAGCTTGCAGACCCCTGACCTAGAGGATACGTTGTTTATATTAAATATTTTAGAGGTGGCAGCAATAGATTATTATAATTTATTCATTGAAATATTCTATCAACACATTTTAGCGCAGTTTTTCTGGTTATTGCTTACATATTCTTTAACCGTGTGCCTTATGGTCTGGGATTCTATAGCTCAATAACCAGCATAGGCTACAGCCAAGTTAGGCATTGGATAGCCACTGCCGATAGTTATAGGTCCGGTAGCCTGTCAGATTAGAAACTGCTAGAGAGGGGACTAAAGCTTAGATTAGATAGATGACTCTGAGTCCCAATGCCACATCACAGTTCTTGATGGTAAAATGCTGTGTTCCAGGCTGGTTGGACATCAGTTGGAGGATCTCCCCATCACCCCAGATTTTGTCTTCAGATTTCCGACACCAAGACCAACTTCGCGATCATCTTCAGTGGTCCCTGTAACTGGACTTTGCTGCAATATTCATCTGAAGGTATCTCTCTATAACCTCCCTGGTGGTATTCCCGAGTGTAGCTCGGGGTAAACTTTCAGTACAAAAAGCGGTAACCCCGAGCTACACTCGGAAATACCCTGCAAGCGTTGCTCTGGAATCCCTGTAGCACTTACCTTGTCCTGCGCTCCCACGATGTCCCTCCTGCAGTGTCCCCGGCAACGTCCTCCGTCTCCCGAGTTCTGTTCAATGCGAGTGTCGGGACGTACGGGGGACGGAACCGGCGAGAAATTTAAAAATGTTAAAAAGTGACATTCACTCAATTCACTAAAATCACATAGTATAACATTCCTGTATCAAACCATTTCACATACATTTTGTCCCGAGTGCTTTGTCCGGCGCCCTGCCTGCATTTTTACTGTTCTTTCTGCCTGGAAACTGAGAAAAGTCCATGGCGTCCAAAAAGCGTCCCTTTAGGTCAAAAGCGGTTTTAGACCGGCTAGAGAACAGCGATAGTAAATCAGAACCACTTGCAGAATTGAATGGTAATTTTTCATGGGGGAAATTCGTCATCAGACACTGAAAACGATTCTGCGACTTTGCTCAGTGATGTACGAACTTGGCGCTATTATTGGTTATTTATTATATTAGAATTTATTTTGTGTTTAAAATTTTTTCCTACCCGGGATGTTTACTAGACTCTTGTTCGGACAGATTTCAGTGAGTTATTCCTAAAAATTACAGGCCTACAATAAAAAAACGACATATTTCCATGCAAAAAAATGTACCGCATTGAGCACAGAAATATGGACATAATCAGACCGCTAGGGAGGTTAAGAGTTGTTGTTCACAAGACGATCAACTTATATACTGGATGACAAACACCTCCTCTAATTCACCACAATATCTTATTATTAGGGTGCACCCCTATGAGTAAGTCGGATATGACGAAACATGTCAGGGCATGACTGTGCGGCAACTGGAAGTGACGTGATCGGAACCGGAAGTGACAAAATTGGCGCCATTTGTGGAACTCGGTGGTGGTGAGAACAGTGATTTCTATAGTTCACTTAGCTGGTTTCCTCATCTGCAACATCATTGGGCTTGATTACCATTTCTAGCTTGTGAGTGGCTGTCTATTTGAGGCAATAAAGGAGCTGTTTTATACTGCACCATTGGGGTTCCTTTGTTTTTTTTATCTTTTACATGACTATTTGAGAGATGATCACATAGGAGGAGGGGGAAGGTGGTTGCTTACCATTCATCAGCACCTGTATACCAACCATGTATCCATATCTATGTTATGTCATTGGGATATCCTGGAATAAAAGATATTGTGGTGAATTGGAGGAGGTGTTTGTCATCCAGTATATAAATTGAGCGTCTTGCGGGTAACAACTCAACCATGAGAATGGGGGACACTATATTTTACTCATGTGGTGATTGTATTTGAAGAATCTGAATCATCTTGGGATAAAAAAGGACTTTTCTTTGGACTGTTTTCACTTGTATGAGTTTTCTCTTGAAATGTATCTTTATGATATTTTGCACTACTGAATCACCTAGAGGATACGTTGTTTATATTAAATATTTTAGAGGTGGCAGCAATAGATTATTATAATTTATTCATTGAAATATTCTATCAACACATTTTAGCGCAGTTTTTCTGGGTATTGCTTACATATTCTTTAACCGTGTGCCTTATGGTCTGGGATTCTATAGCTCAATAACCAGCATAGGCTACAGCCAAGTTAGGCATTGGATAGCCACTGCCGATAGTTATAGGTCCGGTATTTTTTTGGGATAGACAGGACCAAGAGAAAGTGAATATTGCGATAATGGCCTCCTTTTTTAATCAGGTATTAGCAAATAAAAAAAAAAAGACATTAGAGTTAGAAAAGGATAAACTATGCTAAGAATAGGCTAAAGAGAGCTCCCTCTAGTGGTTATTCTAAATAGGTGCATATTTACTTTTATAATTAAAATATGGACGATCATAAACTTTAGAAATGTGACAGAATACCAAAACCTATTTAAAGATATTTTTCTTTAGAGAGACTTTGTAAGTTAACCACTATAGCAAGTATATACCTCTAATGAAGAGACAAAATAATTACCGTTTCTGCTATCCTCACCTCTGAATGTTGCTCTGTTGCAGAGATCAGGTTATTTCCAAGAGGTTATTTCCTTTCCAAAACTGAGCTCCTAGTATTCCACCCTGCCTGCGCCACCCCTACTGACTTCACCATAAATATTGATAACACCATCCTCAGTCCATCCCCTCATGCCAGGGTATTAGGTGTAATCCTAGACTCCCATCTGTCCTTCCAGCCCCAGGTCCAATCGCTGACACAATCATGTAGACTTCACCTCTGCAACATCTCCAAGATACGGCCGTTCCTAACCCGGGAAACCACTAAGCAACTCATTCACTCCCTTGTTATCTCTCGCCTTGACTATTGTAACTCCCTCCTCATTGACCTACCAAATTGCAGGCTATCCCCTCTTCAGTCTATCATGAACGCCGCTGCCAGACTCATCCACCTCACGAACCGTTCTGTATCTGCCACCCCCCTCTGCCAATCCCTCCACTGGCCTCCATTCAGTGTCCTCCACCCCCCTCTGCCAATCCCTCCACTGGCCTCCATTCAGTGTCCTCCACCCCTCTCTGCCAATCCCTCCACTGGCCCCCATTCAGTGTCCTCCACCCCTCTCTGCCTATCCCTCCACTGGCCTCTACTCAGTGTCCTCCACCCCTCTCTGCCAATCCCTCCACTGACCTCCATTCAGTGTCCTCTACCCCTCTCTGCCAATCCCTCCACTGGCTCCCAGTTGCCCAAGGGATAATATTCAAAACACTAACACTGACATATAAAGCCATCCACAACAC